AAATGAAATTGTGCAGCAAAAACGGTGATGGATGTTTGTTTCAGGTTGTCATGTTTACAAAGAATTTTAGTCATTGCGTATTGCTTACGATGGGTCACGGATCACGGTTCTTATGGCATCAACGAGATCTTTGGACTGCATGGAGTTAAAATCGAGGATGACAGCAGCCCCTTTAGCACGCATGTGGATCATGTTGTCCGGTTGGTCAGCAAACAAGGGGATTCCCACCATGGGTACCCCATGGTAGATAGCTTCATACACTCCATTCGTCCCACCATGAGTGATGAAGGCCTTGGTCTTTGGGTGGCCTGGAGACAAAACAGGAGAACTCACCTGGAGTACATTTACATTTGCATTACTCTTTACATTTTATTGCTTTGTTATGTTATATGTTTTTGGACGTCTCCGTTTAACACTGTACCTAACAGATCATTCTGAGGCATCCAGTCATAAATCTTGGTGTTTGGGGCCAAATTCTCTGGATGTTCTTTGCTGTATCTCCAGAGAACCTGCTCAATATGAGGGTTATACAAAGGCTTTGGTAAGAGGACAGTACACTACACTCAGTCACTAACATCATGCAACCGAAACATTCTTGAGATGGACCTCAGTACTCTGCCCCCCTCTGGATACTAGGCTGAAGGTTCAACAGCAGGCAGGAATATCAGCAGTTTAAAATTCTGCATCCACCTGGCTTTGCAAAGTATCTTTCAAACACTTGAAAAAATATTTTTGTCATAGAACTATAATATGCATAATTATTCTGTGTTCTACTGCTCCATTCTCCATCAAATCTTAACAATTAATGTTTTAATATTGTCCTGCAGTGAAAGAAATTTTAACAAATGTGGTGTTTATGTACTTAGGCATCCTGAAGTCTATTTTTGTTTTAATTTCATTTTTCACAAGTTGGAATTAAATTATACACTATAAAGACAAAAGTACTGTAATACACCTCTTAATTGTTGAATTCAGATGTTTCAGTCAGACCCATTGCCACAGGTGTATAAAATCAAGAATTTAGCCACGTGGTCAGGTTTACAAAAATTTGTGAAAGACAGGGTCATTCTGAAGAGCTCAGTCAATTCAACAATGGTAGGATGCCACCTTTGCAATAAGTCAGTTTGTGAAATTTCTTCCCTGTTATGTATTCCATGATTAACTGCAAGTGGTATCTAGCATTTAGGAACAACAGAGTCTCAGTCACAGAGTGGCAGACCATGTGATGTAACAGAGTGGCAGACCATGTGATGTAACAGAGTGGGGTCACGAACGGCCGAC